GCCCATTCAAAAGTGGGCGAAAGATATGAATAGACAGTTTACAAAAGAAGACATACAGGAGGCCAGCAAACATAGGAAAAAATGCTCATCATCACTGGTCATTAGAGAAATGCAAATCAAAACCACATTGAGATACCATCTCATGCCAGTTTGAATGGCGATCATTAAAAAATCTGGAGGCAACAGATGGTGGAGAGGCTGTGTAGAAATAGGAACACTTTTATACTGTTGGTGAGAGTGTAAATTAGTTCAACCATTGTGGAATACAGTGTGGCGATTCCTCAAAGACCTAGAAATAGAAATTCCATTCGATCCAGCAATCCCATTACTGGGTATATATCCAAAGGATTATAAATTATTCTGCTATAAGGACACATGCCCATGAATGTTCATAGCAGCACTGTTTACAATAGTAAAGACCTGGAACCAACCCAAATGCCCATCAATGATAGATTGGACCAGGAAAATGTGGTACATATACACCATGGAATATTATGCAGCCATCAGAAAAAATGATGAGTTCATGTCCTTTGTAGGGACATGGATGAACCTAGAAACCATCATTCTCAAACTGACACGAGAGCAGAAAATCAAACACTGCATATTCTCACTCATAGGCGGGTGTTGAACAATGAGAACACATGGACACAGGGAGGGGAGCACTACACACTGGGGTCTGTTGGGGGGAAATGGGGGAGGGACGGGGAGGTTGGGAGAGATAGCATGGGGAGAAATGTCAGATATTGGTGAAGGGGAGGAAGGCAGCAAATCACACTGCCATGTGTGTACCTATACAACAATCTTGCATGTTCTTCATATGAAGCCCAAAACATAAAATGCAATAAAAAAAGTTCTAGCCAGAGCAATCAGGCAAGAAAAAGAAAGGGTATTCAGTTAGGAAAGGAGGAAGACAATCTATCTCTATTTGCAAACAACATGCTTGTATATCTAGAAGACCCCATTGTCTCAGCCCAAAATCTTCTCAAACTGATAAGCAACTTCAGCAAAGTCTCAGGATATAAAATCAATGTGCAGAAATCACAAGCATTCCTATACACCAATAACGATTTAGAGAGCCAAATCAAGAGGGAACTCCCATTCACAATTGCTACAAAGAGAATAAAATACCTAGGAATACAACTAACAAAGGATGTTAAGGACCTCTTCAAGGAGAACTACAAACCACTGCTCAAGGAAATAAAAGAGGACACAAACAGATGGAAAAACATTCCATGCTCATGGTTAGGAAGTATTAATATCTTGAAAACGGCCATACTGCCCAAAGTAATCTATAGATTCAATGCTATCCCCATCAAGCTACCAATGACCTTCTTCACAGAACTGGAAAAAGCCACCTTAAACTTCACATGGAATCACAAGAGAGCCCGCATAGCCAAGTCAATTCTAAGCATAAAGAACAAAGCTGGAGGCATCACACTGCTGGACTTCAAACTATACTACTACAAGTCTACAGTAATCAAAACAGCATGGTACTGGTACCAAAACAGAGACATAGACCAATGGAACAGAAGAGAGACCCCAGAAGAAACACCACACATCTAAAACCATCTGATCTTTGACAAACATGACAAAAACAAGCAATGGGGAAAGGACTCTATGTTTAAAAAATGGTGTTGGGAAAACTGGCTAGCATTGTGCAGAAAGCAGAAACTGGACCCCTACCTGTCACCTTACACTAAAATTAACTCCAGATGGATTAAATATTTAAACATAAAACCTAATGCCATAATAACACTAGAAGAAAACATAGGCAAAACCATCCAGGACATAGGCATAGGCAAGGACTTCATGACTAAAACACCAAAAGCAATGGCAATAAAAGCCAAGATAGATAAATGGGATCTAATTAAACTCCAGAGCTTCTGTACAGCAAAAGAAACGATCATTAGAGCAAATAGGTAACCAACAGAATGGGAAAAGATTTTTTGCAATCTACCTATCTGACAAAGGGCTAATATCCAGAATCTGCAAACTAAAACAGATTTACAAGAAAAAAACAAGCCCATTCAAAAGTGGGTGGACGATATGAACAGACACTTTTCAAAAGAAGACATACATATATGAGGCTAACAAACATATGAAAAAATGCTCATCATCACTGGTCATTAGAGAAATGCAAATCAAAACCAAACTTAGATATCATCTCATGCCAGTTAGAATGGTGATCATTAAAAAATCTGGAGACAACAGATGCTGGAGAGGATGTGGAGAAACAACAACACTCTTACACAGTTGGGGGGAGTGTAAATTAGTTAAACCATTGTGGAAGACAGTGTGGCAATTTCTCAAGGATCTAGAAATAGAAATTCCATTTCACCCAGCAATCCCATTACTGGTATATACTCAAAGAACTATAAATTGTTCTACTATAAAGACACACGCACATGTATGTTCATTGCAGCCCTGTGTACAAAGACCTGGAACCAACCCAAGTGCCCATCAATGATAGACTGGACAAGGAAAATGTGATACATATACACCATGGAATACTATGCAGAGATAAAAAAACGATGAGTTTGTGTCTTTTGTAGGGACTTGGATGAATCTGGAGACCATCATTCTCAGCAAACTGACACAAGAACAGAAAGCCAAACACCATATGTTCTTACTCATAGGTGGGTGTTGAACAACGAGAACACGTGGACTCAGGGAGAGGAGCATCACACACTGGGGACAGTGGAGGGGGTTAGGAGAGAGACAGCAGTGGTTGGGGAGGGATAACATGGAGAGAAATGCCAGATACAGTATGCATCAAAAGTAAAATACATATATATATATATATATATATATATATATATATATATATATATATGCTTTTAGAAATAAATTGATGCAGTTTGAACTGACTAAATGTTTAAATGTTTATGGAAAGTTCTTGATCATTCCCATGTTAATGCCATGTAAATGGATGTAGAAATTTAACATAATCATTGAACATTAAGTACTGTAGTGAAAGAGGTGTGACTAGATTAAACTGGAGATGAAAATATTAAAAAGTTCATACTCTCAAAAGCAGTCTACAGATACAATCTCTAACAAAATTCCAACAGCATTTTTCACAAAGATAAAAAAAGTCCTAAAATTCACAAAAGACCCCAAATAGATAATGCAATTTTGAGAAAGAAGAACAGAGTTGGAGGCAAATAACCCCTGATTCAAATTATATTAGCAAGCTATAGGTATCATAACAGTATGGCACTGGCATAAACATAGACAGATACATCCATGGAACAGAATAGAGAACTCAGAAATAAAAGCATGCATTTATAGTCAACTAGTTTTTGAGAGGGTGACAAGACTACACAATGAAAAAAAGATTATCTCTTCAATAAAGAGTGCTGGAAAAATATTCCCATGCAAAAGAATGAAGTTAGACCTGTTACTTAACCATATGCAAAAATTAACTTGAAAAGGATGTAAATGTAATCTATGAAATGAAACTCCTAGAAGAAAACATAGGGGGAAAGGTCCTTGATATTAGTCTTAGCAATGATATTTTGGTTAAACTTGGGACTTCATCAAATAAAAAAGCAACCTAGAGAATGGGAGAAAATATTTTCAATCCATTTATCTGATGAGTTAAGATCCAAAATATAAAAGAAACCCACGTGCTCAACTGCCAAAAAGTAATACCCCACTTAAAAAGTAGGAAAAAAAACTGAATTGGTATTTTTCCAAGGAAGACACACAAATGACAAACAGGCATATGAAAAGGTAAAGGAATGCCAGGGCCTCCTACCTTCCTGTGGCTTCTTGTAACTGACTTTAAGTAATTGCTGGCCACTTGCCAGAATGGCATGGAGAGATCAACACCATGTATGATGTGAATTGTTAGTGCTTTTAGTCTTTGCTGTTAACAGCATCAAACTTAAGGACCAGTTGCAATACCATAGTAACCTGCAATCAAAGATGATGACCATAATAGCTGACATTTTTGGAAACTACTGTGACTGGCTGAAAGTCAGCAAAGACTTTCACACATGGATTAACTTTACCCTCTTACTATCCTGGGATGAGGATCTACTTTTCAAATGAAGAAATGGACACTAAGAGAAGTCTGAGAACTGGTCTAATCTAGACAATTGCACAGATTCAAACCCTGGCAAGCCCACCGCAAAGCCTGAGATCTCAGCAGCTGAATTTTATAATTGGGCAGTCCACTGTAAAAGTGAACTATTTTTTATTTGTATAAATTTAAGGGTACATAGTGGTGACGTCAGGGCTTTTCATGTAGCCATCACCCAAATAGGGTACCTTGTATCCCTTAAGCAACATCTTGTCCTTCCCACCCTTCCAAGTCTCTCCAATGTCTATTGTTCCACGACTCTACATCTCTGTGTACACATTATTCAGCTCCCATTTATAGGTAAGAACATGTAGTATTTGACTTTCTGTTTCTAGGTTAAGAATCACCTCCAGTTCCATCCATGTTGCTGTAAAAGACATGATTTCATTCTCTTCTGTGGCTAAGTAGTATTTGATAGCGTGTCTATACTGCATTTTCTTTATCCAGTCCTTCACTGATGGACACATGTTGATTCTAGGACTTTGCTATTTTTGTTACTAGTGCTGTGATAAACATATGCATGCAGGTGTCTTTTTAATGTAATGGTCGCTTTTCCTTTGGGTAGATAACCAGTGGTGGGATTGCTGGATTGAATGGTTGAGTTTTAGTTCTTTGAGAAATCTCCATACTGTTTTCCATAGAGGTTGTACTAATTTATCTTCATACCAGCAGTGTATAAGGGTTCCCTTTTCTCTGCATTGTCACCAACATCTGTTGCTTTTAGATATTTTAATAAATGAAATATTTTATATTGTAGAGTATATGCCTGATTGGATTCCTTAAATTTATTAACAATAAATTTATTCTCAATACCAATCTTTAAGTCAGTGTACTAATTTGTACTGAGGTTTATTTTTTCCATCTTTGGAGGAAGAAACTCTGTCACAAACATTATTTGGCCTTTGTTTTTCAGCTTCCATCGTGATTCAGAAATGGTGGTGTCACATGAATCCCTGTTTGGAAGGAGAGGATTGTAAAGTGCTGCCAGATTACTCAGGTTGGTCCTGTAGCAGTGGCAATAAAGTCAAAACTACAAAGGCAAGTATAGACAAAATGCAGCTACCATTTACAACTTATCAACTGTGGGGCTTCCTCCCTTGATTTTATTCTACCATCAAGAGAACATCATTATGTGCGAAAAATCTGCTTGGGCCTTTTTGAAAAGCCCATTTCCCAGCATTATCTTGTGTGTCAGATTTTATAGAGCAGTGATTTGGTGGGAGAATTCATTATTTTAGGTAGCGCCACTAAATTCATTTCAGCTTCTTCACAAGCCCGATTTAAAGTAAAAGCTTCAGAGTTGACAGGCCAATGTATCAAAACACCATGGCAAGAATCCATATCCAGATGATTTACTGAAGTAGAAATACCCACAGCTTTAAAGGAGATTTAATGGTTGGAGATTCTTATTCAAGACTTAGAAGCCAACACTTTTCACCCCAAACAGTATTATTTTTAATTCTCACCATCTCTGAAGAATGCCATTGTCTACCCAGTTCTCCAGCCAGAAACCTACCTTCTTCCCCTTATCTTCCCATGTTCAGTTGGTTACTTTGTCCTTATGTTTTTAGTACCCAACTTTTCCATGATTCTTCAACACTGTGCTCATTCCTCTTGTCCCATCTGCCCTTTCGTATGGAGATGCATCTGGACTGCTAGGTTGCTGCCTTCTAGTCTGGTCTCCCTACAGTGACTACAGTAATTTTGTAAAATGCACATCCTCTAAGCTAGTCTACCTTGAAATAGTCCACTGGCTCCCTCTGGTGATTGGTCCACTAGCCTCTGCCTGGTGCCTAATGAGTAACATGGCAAACCACTTCCCCTTCCTTCTGGCTGCTCTAAACATCCTGGACTTTTGTCAGTCCTTCTTATCTCCTGGTCTTTTTGCACCAGCTGTTTCTTCCCTCTTTATAGAATATGTTTTCCCTCCTTTCTTTTCTAGTTAATCATAATCTTTTCAGGGACTCCTTTACTGATTGAAATCATGCTCCCTGTATCTCTGAGATTTTACTCTGGTTACATTTTACATAGATTGCTATGCTTATTTTGCTTAATACCTACAGCTTTCGTCTAGTGAGAGAGGTTTCATGTTGGGCCCTGGCTTTTTTTTTTTTTTTTGCTTTCCCTGGAAGAAAGGAAAGTCCCTTTCTAACAGGTAGTCCCAGAGACAGCTGAATGCCTTGGGAACCATTTCTTGAATGAAAACCGACATGACCAAGGTCATTCTAAGATCATTAGAGTTAGACATACTGGAGTGGAGTGACTCTTTCGTTCTGGTTGCCACTGAGCTTTGACCACTTAGGAAGTACATACAGTGAATGGCTTCTTGCCTTTCTTATTATCCCCATTATGAATACTTTGAGAACTCTTAAGTGTTTAGTAATTCATCCTCATGGAGTCAAAAGCAGGCCAGTTCTCCTTCTAAGTGTGAACATGAAATATTAATGTTAAATATGACTTTGTAAAATATATTAAAATAGAAAGATATTAAATCTAAAACAAAATATTAGAAAGGATGATAGTACAATATATTTTAAGTTAAATGGAAACTTTAGCTGATATTATACCCCAGATTATTAATGGAATAGCCGTCAGTTGATCCTCTGCGTAAAACCAGAATGTCACAATCAAGACCATTTTCAACATTGTGATTATCAACTAACTTATCCTTGTTAGTGATACTGAGATGACTGGGATGATGATGTGATACCTTCTTTTATATCCAGGGCAGCAGATGCCCATGGAGTCATTTATCGGTGGTGTGAGGAGGGCAACCCTCCCATCATTCTAAGCCATTCTAAATAAACTTCCATCCTACATAAACCCAGGGTGCTTGCTAAGCAAACCCTGCCTTAAGATAATTTCCCTATCTTTCCCTTTATTTAAAGCAAACAAACATATATTTCAGTATTTATAAATTCAGTTATTTTTTCCTAATTCCTTCCTAAGTAAAAATCTTGGAGTAACCCATGAATTAGGGTATTACATCCATCAGGGATAAAAATTTTCTTTCATCATATTTCTTGTAGGCTAAGGAATAACATTTTGGAAGATTATGTTTGTATTGATTTTTATGTATAAATATAAAACAAGATCATAAGCAGAAGCCAACTGTAGTTCTCTTGGTGGAACGGCTCTCTATTTATGTGTAGTTAGAGAAGGCATTTTCAGGAAGCAAACCTTTAGGGGCACTTTGGCTCTGTGCTGGGATTGGAAGTTTGCTCTAGCTAAATCCTCAACGGTAGTGACATTTCATTTAGCACTTTGAAAAGTTGTAGAAAGATAATACAGTTCCCCAAGCCATCATGATACTTGGGCTGCTTTTTTAGTGATATGTCACTTGAGAATAATCTTGAAGTCATAAAACTTTGTTTCCTTTATTAATCCGAGTCAGTGTGACTTAAACTACATAAAACATTTTATGTCTTTTATGGATCTTATGCACATAGAGTAAATTCATTTGTGGATCTGTGACTAGCTTCCAGTAGTACCTAGTATCTTTTTCCTAAAATTGCTACTGACCTTATACCACAGGTGAGACAGAGGTCCTATAAATGCAGAGCAATTGCCTCCCTAGAGGATGTGTTAACTAAACTATGTAACAAAATAGTTTCCGTTTTCTTTAAACAGTTCATGCATAGCAGCATCAAAACATAGAAAGGCTAAAGTAAGATGGTCTGCAATAAGCCAGCTATGTCAGAATTTTATTTTCCATTTAAATGCGAATATGAAAATAGTTGACAGTGAACTTAAATATTAATAGGTTTAGATGAAGACATGAAAATAGGAGAGAGGATAATTCCCTAACTAGTCATCTTTTATAGGTATAAAATAATGGCATAGAGTTTAGAGAGGATGTGGCTACTGCTTCTTGTGGGAGAATATAACTCTGTCTGTGGACCTGCCTTAATTATTTTTTCTTAGTTGAAATCTGGGTTTTGCTGCATTCTGTGTGCTAGAGTTCCTTACTGTTTGGGGTTGCCATTGTTAAGTCTTCTAACAAGTATATGATGTCTTCTTAGCATCACATCAAAGCCAAGCATTGGCCAGAATTTATTTGTGAGTAGGAGCAAATCACTTTGAATTGTGAGATATTTTAGATTTTTAAAATGTTTTTATTTTTGAATCCTCTACTAAGGGTGAAAAGCTGTCTTTAAAATAGTAGTTCTCAACCAGAGGCAGTTTTTTTGCCTCTGAGTAGTGTCTCGGATATTTCTGGTCATCACACTTTGCGAGGATGCTACTGGCATCTGTGGGTAGAAGCCAGGGATGCTGCTAAACATCCTACAAAGCACAGATAGCCTCTACAACAATTTTTGACCCCCAAATGTCAATGTATGGAGGTTGAAAAACTGCTTTAGAGAACAGTATTTTTCAGTAGCTGTTTGCAAACTTCCTACTTGAAAGTTTCTATTGTCTAAATATTTCCAATATTGCATATTGGAAAATTTCTACAGAATTGAAGCAACAGTCTTGGCTTCAGCACCTTCCAAGTATTTTCCTCAAATAGTTCTCTAATCTGCCTGTCTCTTGGGCCATCACTACAGACCATTGTCAGTATCGTAATAACATAATGGTATCATGAAAACGTGTTAAAAAAACCCCACAGTTTTGAACTCTACCTCTAGGATATTCTGGTATAGTAAGTCTGGGATACAGCTTAGAAAACCCTGCTTTTTAGAAATAGTTGTTCTTAGGGTGACTGTGATTAACGGGCAGTATGAGGGAACCATTAGTCCAACTGAGCTCTCTACCTGTTCTCAACTTTAATTGGCTTATGCCCTGTTTTCTCTGCAACAAGGAGAAACTCTCTGCCCAGGTTCCCTCCCTGTTGAGAGACCGTCAATGGATCCCCATTGGAAACTTATGCAAAATGCAGATTATAGGCATCTTAAATGGGCCTTCACTGCCAGTCACTGTATAGGCCCTGTATTTCCCCAAACCATTGGTTCTTCCTTCTTCCACTTCCCCTTCTGAAATTCCACTTGTCTTTTAATGTCCAGCTCAGATGACTCCTTTACCCTGAAGTTTTGTCCTCCCTGATCTCTGTAGTCAGACTTGAAGTGCTCAAGGTACCCTGATGAAAGGGAGTACAGCTAATATTGGCATCTTAGTACCCCTGTATCCATTACAATTCAGAAGCAGCAATGAATCTTCCACATGTAATCACTACAATAATTATTTTAAAGGAAAATAAAACTGAGAGCATTTTATCATCCAACTTCAAGTAAAGCTTTCCACAATGAGCTGGGCATGGGGAATGGTTGTCTCAAAGAAGACGCTTTTGACAATTACATCCTGCATATAGCTTGATAGATATCCAAAGAGCTAACATTACAATAGCCACCATTCCCTGAGTACGAATCATGTGTTAACCACTGCATTGTGTCATTCAAGTCACATACTTTATTCACTCTTTACTACAACTAAAGGGGGAAGGTACTATTATCTGTATTTTGGAGATGAAGAAACTAAGGCAAAGAGAGACAATCTACCCCAACACAGAACATGGCCAGCTCCATCATTCAAATGCTCAAGCCCCAAAGATCTTGGAACTGTCCTTGACTCCTCTTTTTCTTACATCTTTATCCTATTTGTCACAACCCTTTAGGTTGACAGTCCTGTCATGCATTCCTCATCTCTTCCTTGAACCTCAGTCAGAGAAAAGCCAAAGTCTGTATTTACTTCTCTCTTCCCAGTGAGTCAGGCCTCTCTCATTTCTTTCAACCTTCCCTGACATAATGTATAGAAGAGCAGCCCTACCCTCCCTGCCGCAGCCTGCCTTTCCCCTTTATACTACTTTACTTTTCCCCATAGCCCATATTGTTAATATTTACTTTTTTTTCCAACCTCTTCCTCTGGAATAGGGATGAGAAAATTGTGGCTTAAAGCCAAATCCAGCCCTGGGCCTGGTTTTGTATGGCTCATGAGCTAAGACTGGGTTTTACATATTTAAGTGGATGGAAAAAATCAAAAGGAGAATATTTCAGAATGCATCAGATATGAAATTCAAATGTCACCATCTATATATAAAGTCTGGAACAAGGCACAGTGCCTTTATTTCATATATTAATATGACTGCTATAGTGACTGTATGGCCTGTAAAACTGAAAATATTTACCATATTTAATCCTTTCTAGTAAAAGTTTTCCAGCTTCTGTGCTAGAAGGTAAACTCCATGAGGGCAGGGATTTTGTTTCATTTGCTGTAGTTACCTAGCACAAACAAAAGGGCAGAAATACTGTTGAATACATAAAGGCCATATGTCAGTTAATAGCAAGGCTAAGGTTTGCATAAATAGCTGATTGAATCTAAAGCACAGGTACGGTAACTATATTATCAAATAATTTGCTTTGAAAAAATATTTTTGTGATACAGGCATGTTAAAAGGTTTTATGCTTTTTTTCCCCCACCTGAGCTGGTATATTGATTAACATGTAAAATTTCTTACATGACCAATCAACTATAGAAATGCTATTCTATTTTCTTAGATCATAAGTAATGAGCCTGAATGTTTAAAAATGAAAAATGCAGCCACTACCATTTTTAATATAATAGTTTTATAAAATAATCTATTTTCAAAAGTGAAAGTTAACTGCATTAAAATCAGTCCATGTCAAGATAAAAATGTTGCCTTTGTTATTTTTTTAATCAGCCATTTATTTGAAAAATTTTCAGTGCCATTAACAAAGCATGCTCAGCATGCATGAATTGATGGGCAATGAGTGTACTTAATCAAATGGGATTTTTATAACCTCACAAATACAAAGCTAGACTGCATAATCCCTGTTATGGAAACCTTTGTGTATGTATTCTTTACATTTCTTGTTTGCAGGCTGCAAAGCAGAATTTGAACAGTTGATTAGGTGAGGTTGGTTATATGCAAATGTACAAATTGATAAACTATTCAGTCAGGACCTTATTGTTCCCTGGGCAGGGATGGTTATTTTGGTGGGTATGGAGTGTTCAATGTTCCCTTATTTGATTTGTTTTAGGTAACGCGGTAGCGAAGAGAGAGGTGTGCTTCATTCCTGGAGGGGCAGCAGGATGCAGAGCTCTTTTGCTGAAATTCCCATCCTGGCCACTTTGCAGAAAATTATCTTGGATTTCAGCAACATCGTATTTGCATATGTGTGCTGTGAGAAGTGGCATTCACTTAACTGGCCCAGCTGTCTCTGCTTTGTGATTTTATTTCATTGACTATAACTGCAAGCCACTATACATTTGACATCCTATCTGGATTCCCAACGAGCATACCTCCAAAATCCTAGAAGAGCAAATCAGAGTTTTCAAAATGCGTCACGACTACGAACACCTTCGGTCTTTACTTTCTTTCTACCTTTACAAAAACTTGGATGTATGTTTCAAAGGATCCTGTTTCTGTTCTTCTTTTCACTTTTCCTTTTGCTTTTGTATTAAGTGGTTTTAAAGGGGTCTAAATAAAAGATTTTTAGCAAATATATTTGCAGATGTAGATTAACTGGTGAAGAAAATTACTGGTAGAGATCCACTGATTAACTGGTAGAGAACATTTATTTTATAAACCCTTGACAATAGAAGGATATAGTTGGAATATTGTGTGTGCATTGTATTTTTTACTTTTGATAATTTTTGGCATTTTGCTTTCCATTGTCAGCTTAGCAGAGATAAAATGAGAGTGTTTTAACTTCAATGCACCATTTTACTGAGTGCTAAGGAAGCATATCAATTCCACTATTTTATAATCAAAGCTCTATCAGAACATATTTATAAAACTTGTTGGAGTTTTTATGGCTTTTGTGTAGTCATGGAAGTAAATCATTTAAAATGTAAAACAATCTCAATTTAGATCAAGGGTGATTTCTTAGATCAAATTTATGCCAATTCTATGAAAATATTTTGTTACCTCCCAAAGAGGAGTCTTTCAGTGCTGAATTTTTAGACAGTAAATGAGTTGTTAACTTAGCTGTTTCCCTACTTGTTAGCCATCTTATTTCTTTAAAATCTGAGTCTTGATTGGCTTAATGATTTTTCAGCAGACATATCTCCACAAATTCACAGATGCTGTCATGCAGAAACATATGAAACAGATGAAGAATGACTAACACAGATTTTAAATGTATATTATTAAAATATTGTAAAACTATGGGGTGAATTTTGTATATTAAGAAATGCCAAAAACAGTTTCTGCACCAAGTTAATTATCCCTGTCCTTTCACATTTATGGGGGAAAATAAATCAATACTTCAATGTTGTTTATAGCATAATAGTTACCTGATTTTATTGCAGAATGAATGGAAAGATTTGTTTGCTAAATTTTTGCCTAGATGCTTACTAAATTTGTTATGATCATATGAATAAGTAAAAAAATTCATCCTGCTTATGGCATACATGTTTTTGTGGTTATATATGCCTTAAGACTCTGTTAACATTCTACCTAGGCTTGCACATTTTAAATGTGAAAAACTCCTTTTGAAAATAACTTTAAAAGTAACATTTAACTTTGGGGATGTGAACTATATGGTAAAGTTGATACATGTATTTGGGTGGCTTCATTTCTTCTCCCAAGCCTGTTTACCACTAACCTTACTCACACTCATTTAGTATTGAGTTAAAATATATCTAAGGAGATTTTATGGTACCTGGAACAGTGGCTTAATTTTTTAGCCCATGGGTCTGATCTTGTACCCCAAATAAGATCAAGTAACAATGACACTACTTCACCTTAAGGTACATGCCTGGTGAGTAAACCACTTCCAGGGAATCAGTGGTCCACTGGGGAAAATGGCAGCCTCTTTAAGTCGCTTGCCACAGCCTAAAGTTTGAGGCAGTTCTGGAAAGGGTCAGCTGGCTGTTTCCTCACTGCTAGCTCTGGACATAAAATCACTTTCCTTTCACTCCACTTCATCTTGTTATTGGTTTTACAAGTGGTGAGCAGCTAAGCCTGTACTTGATTATAAGAGCAGATACAATCTAGCATATGCTGTATGGATTTCCAAGGTTGCTTAAATATACAGCTGTGGCAACATTGAGCCTATGTTCTCTCACATCAACCCTATTGGATGCAGAGGAGAAGCTGCCCCTTTTATGGGTCTATATATACTCCCTTGTCTACCACCATCATCACTTGGCCAGCTTCTTTATTTGAATTTTTGCAAGAACCTGTTGGTATGTATACAAGATTGAGCATTAACTCTTGAAAGTGGCAATGGAAACACCATACCAAAAATGCCTATTTCACAGATAGACTGGAAAATGCTTCTGTACAAAATTCTTTGCGCACTATTAGGGACCCACTGACCAAGGATAAATCCAGTGCTAGTCTGATGACGAACTTCACCATTTAGTAAAGCAGTCTAGCCTGAACAAACTGGCATAGAATCTTCATATAACCTATGTACATCCTCCCATAAACTTTAAGTCATCTCTAGGTTACTTATAATACTGAATACAATGCACATGCTAAATAAATAGTCATTATACTGTATTTAGGGAATAATGACAGGGAAAAAAGTCTGTACATGTTCAGTATAGACACAGCCATCTTTATTTCCCCCCAAGTATTTTTGATCCACAATTGGTTGAATTTACAAATGCCCATGGACTGTAATAACCTCTTAATAAAGTTGTGCATCATTTACGAATAACTTGTAGCCCAACTAGTCACTTCATGCCAAAAGAAACCAAAAAGCCTTCACTGAAAAGTGGGCTTAAGGTTTAAGTGCATGCAGCTGAAAGAAAATTGGGAACAAATAGGACTAGATCTTTTAGTGTTTTTTTCTTGTTTCTAAGTTATTGAGAACTTTGGGAAAGTAAGAAAGAACCAACTCAAAGAACACTCAAGGATCATTGCTTCCTATTGCCCTTAGCTGTGAGTTTGACAGAATGTTGGAAAACCTTGTGCTTTCTTCATGGACAGGTAAATGCCTTGGCCTGTAATACCTATCTGGTGGAGATGACAGCACCACCAGAAAGATGCAAAATACAGGTTATCCCGATTGAATCTGAAACATGAGACAACAGATGCCACACACCAGTTCTTTCAGGTTCATCTTGCAAAAAACTCAGGCCCCATTCAGCAGCCATAGGAAAGGAAACAATCATTTCAAGTTACAAAGTAATCTTGTAAACAGAACTTGGAACAAAAGAGCCCAGTAAATAATTGATGAACAGTTACTGATGCATGTTGGGCATCTTTGTAGTATTGATTTTTGGCTATGAAGAAAGCAGGACTCTGAAAGCTCATACTTTTGTCTCTCTTCTATTCAGTGCTATCAACCTTCATAGTCCTCTTACATGTTAAGAATGTAAAATGATGCATCTTTTATGTTCTTCATTTGGGCCCTTGTTCTCTGTGGATGAGGTTTCTGACTCATCCCTTAATTATCAGCTTTGATTCTCTTAATGAGAAGTTATCAAAATAGTTCAGGATACTGAATTATTAATTGAATAACTAATTAATGATCAAGAGATGGAAGTAAGCAAATAAACTTTAGTCTTCTACTTTGAAGTCTGAAATACTATTCTCAGCAGTTCAGTTGGGTCTCTGAACTTCTCTGCCTTCTCCTTGAATTTCAGCTTTGCCACTGCTTTGTTACATATATTAAGTTCAGTGCTCAGTGTTGTATAGGCCATTCACAGATAACACAGAAAATAAAATCATGCCCTTGCTATTTTACCATTGCAATAACTGAAAAGAAAACATAAAAAATAATCCATAGTTTCTCACACACAAGTCAATAGAGTTGGAATGTCTAGCTCAGCTCAGTGGGGGTATGGGTTGAAACAGGAATCAGGACAATACTTTGGAATATTTAAATATTTATGAGTGCTATATATCTGATAGAAGACTGAAACTGATTCTGAATACTACAGTGAAGAAACTAAGGTAAAATCACTAGGTTTCAGCTTGAGAAAGTTAGTGACAAACTCTTGAAACTGTCAAAGTCAGAAAAACCGGTATTTGATGCTGCCATATGCTTTTTCAATCACTGTCTTTCCTGATTCATTACTAGAGCACAGACAAGGAGTGGGAACTGGGGAAGGAATCTTTGAAAGATGCCGTGTCTAATCCCCAAGGGGAAGGGATTTTGCCTGCAGAAAATCAGTGCAGATGGCTCTTGATTTGGCATGAACACATTTGGCCTAGGTCAGAGTGAGCGAAGTAGTGAGGGATTTGCATGAGTTTTTGGAGGGCTTTTACTTTACAAAAAAGATTAGGAAAAAGGGTAATCTTAAAGATCTTTCTTATTTGTTACTCCATTCCTCTTCTTTAAGAGCTATGTTGGTTTTTCTCTTCCCACCTGACATCTCAAACACAAAAAGGGGACAGAAGAGAGTAGGGAACTATTTGGGTTCAGAATAGGTCTTGGAAGGAAGATCTATCTGCCCAATAGGCAAATATTTGTAAAAACTAATCTGACTACATAAAAAAAACTTTGCACATGGCACAACCACATAAACCAAACTAAACTCAAACTGGAAACAGTATTTATAGCTCACATTGCAGACAAAATACTGATATATACAAAACTTTTACAAATCAGTAAGTAAAAGATGAACATCTCAATAGAAAAGTGAACTGGAGAGGGGCGTAGATGGCCAATTAGAAGCAACTGCAATCCACGGCGCTCACAAAATGCTGAGTGAATTCTGCACCTGAGGTATCTAGGTTCTCACATTCGGACTGACTAGAAGGATGACTAAACCCACGGAGAGTGAGGAAAAGCAGGGTGAGGTAATGGTCCACCTATGAGTGGCACAGGGCCAGGGGAACTAATACCCCCAGTCAAAGGAAGTGGCTAGTGTGTGACTTTCTGGAAAACCATGCTTTTCGCATGGATCTTTGCAACCAGTGGATCAGGAGATCCTTTCATGAGCCCACATCACCAGAACCTTGGGTCCAATGCACAGAGCTATGCAGAGTCTTGGTGGAGTGGCTGCCCACCTGCTTACTGGGGCATTTAGGGAAACCTGGGAGTTTTGCATACTCCAGTCCCAGTAATTCCAGCAAGGCAGGAGATCCTGTGCATTCCCTAGGAAAGGGGCTGAATCCAGGGAGCCAAGTAGCCTCATTCTGTGGACCCCACAACCATGGTACCTCACAAGTTAAGACCCACTGGACTGGAATTCCAGCCAGCCAGCAGCAACAGGCTGGAAATGGCCTCAGATGAACTGAGTTCCCAGGGAGGAGGGGCAGCTGCCTTATCTGCTGTTCCAGTTGGCTGCTGTGGCCTGCCAGTACTGGGGACCAGGAGGAATTCCCCACAACACAGCACAGCTACTGTGCCTAATTGTGGCAGTCTGCTTCTTTAAGTGGGACACCAATCCATCCCTCCTCACTGTGAGGGGCTACCTTTGGGAATTTCAGCAACTTCAGCCAGGTTTCTAGGGACAAAACTCTGATCTTTCCCTGGTGCTACCCCTCCCAGGAGAGAGGGGCACCTACTGTCTCTGCGCTTAGCAGACTTAATCTTTCCAGGCTACTGTCTCTGGGGAGGCCAGGTGGTCAGTGCAACACACTTGCTCTGCCAAAAGGAGTCAGATTGCTGCTTTAAGTGAGTTCTTTATCCCAGTTCTTCTATCTGCGTGAGACATCCCAGCGGGGGTCTCCAGACACCTCCTACAAGAATGTTCTGGCTGGCATCAGGTCAGTGCCCCCCTGGGAGGAGGCTCCCAGAGGAACAGGTTGGCATCTTTGCTGTTTCACAGCCTTCACTGGTGATACCTCCAGGTATGGGAGGGACCAGGGTAACTATGATCTGGAGTGAACCCTCAGCAAACTGCAGCAGCCCTACAGAAGAGTGGTCTTACTGTTAAAACAAAACAGAAAGCAGCAACCACATTAACAAAAAGACTCCACAAAACCCAGGAGTTCTTTGAAACCAATGAGAAAAAGAGACAATGTACTAGTCTCTCTGGAATGCAGCTAAAGAAGTGTTAAGAGGGTAATTTACAGCACAAAATGCACACACCAAAAAGCTAGAAAGATTTCAAATTGACACCCTAACATCACAACTCAAAGAACAAGAGAACCAAGAGCAAACAAAACCC